GTTGGAATCCTTTATCTGTGAAGAGACTCTATACAGGTGGAGTGTAAGAGAGGCACTTTTATCACTTCTTTTAGGTGGAGACCTATTTCCATGTAGGTTGGAAAAAGTGATGTGGTGATAAATGATTATCCCAAAAACTTAGGATCTATGTGATTTGCCAGTTAGACATGAGTTGAGTGATCAATCTAATGAGCATAGTGGGGGATGAGAGGAGATATATATTCTCGATGTCTGAGCAATACGGAATGGAATATGATATGTGTGTTGAAATCTTTTTGTAGGGTCATTTATACATTTATTGCATTTGTGTTTAATCGTGTGTTTGATTAACTTGGTGTTAATCCGTGGTTCTGTGTGAACATGATTCTGAAAAGATTTATGTGTGTTATCCTATAATATATCGTCATCGCATGTTTATTTGCTCTTGATTGTTTACTGTGAATATCTACTTCTATTTGGGTGTTCTTGATCTTAGCCCTGGTGAGTACATGTATCAAGTATGATATGTGTTTCAGGTTAGAAACATGAGATAAGGTCTGTGATACCAATTTTATTTGTTACCATGATTTTGCAAGTATAAACTTTGTATTTTGATTGTTTGCAGATTTATTGGGTATCAAGGTGAAGATTTGTTGGATTTTTTGATACCCAATAAATTCGGGCAATGATTTAAAACATTCGTCTGTAATTTATCGATACCATGGACTTGGCTTGACTCGAAAACAACCTATACTTTTGGATGGCCCGAGTTTAGTTGGATGGTCTTTTGGTTAGTTGAACCATTTAGTGGTAAGTTTGTACTTGAATATCAGCCCATTAGTTTAGGTTAAGTGACAACCCGTTTGCATAAGTCTTGGCCCAATTGAGTGACCTAAGTGGTTTGGCTTTATATACATCCATCTCCTCTAGCAGTCGTGTGTGTGTACAGTATGCAAGAGAGAAAATAAGAGAAGACAATAAAGAGGCAGCCGGCTTTCTTTGGAGTCAGTGAACTTGGAGTGTTTTTTGGTGTCTTCCTTCATCTTTTTTCCTTCCTTTGTAGAGTGCATATACCACCACCATAGTCTCCTTTGTGGAGTGAAACTTGTGGCAACCAGTGTGGAAGTTTTGGGTCGAGTCGAGGTAAATTGGTGTTCATTTGGTTGTTTTCTGAGCCCAAAATCAACATTTCTTGAGAGATTTTCGTGACAATTATACGTTAAGAACAAATAGTGGGTTTGCCTCTCTAAATTTAGAGAGACAAACACACTCTATACTTTAAAAAGTTAAATTAGAGAGTCTCTTGAAAATCATTTTTAAGCATTGACTCTCTAAAATAGAGAGTATTTTGTATTTAAAGAGTCGCTCAGACCATATTTGATAGGGCTTGAATTCCATGGAATTTTTTTTTTCATTTTTCAACTTTTTTGGTGTTTGATTGCATTTTTCTTAAATTTCTCGGAAAGGGGCAATTTTCTTAGTTTTCAAGAATATGGTGAGAATTGGTTTTCTAGGCTACTTTTTTTTTTGCCCAAATTCTATTCCTAATTGTAAAAAAATATTTTCCTTTAATTAACAATTTCCATGTAAAACGAAGCGAAACGAATACTAAAAGATAGATGATTTTTTCGTTGTTTTTTTTGGCATTGGAAACAAATTCTATCCCAAATACCAGTACATTCTATCATTTTAATTGACAATTTTTACGTAAAAAATGTTAAATGAACACTAAAAAATATTTTTATTTCAACATTTTTCACGTGAAAAATTATACCAATCAAATACAATAATTGACAATTTCTAATAAAAACAATATTTGGCAATTCAATTCCTTAGAATTTGTTTTTTTTTTCGCGCAAATTTCATATTTGCAATCAAACGGACTCTTAGAGATACTCTTAGTGAGAGAAAAGGAAGCAGAAATAGCAGAAAATAACTCTAATACTGAAAAAGTCCAGAACAGGATTGCTGATATTGTCTCAAGCTTCTAGGACTTGCAATCAATAGTTGATACAAAATGTCATGATCTGCTGTCGGGTCTTCCCCAGGTCGAGTTCGACAATGAATCTCTATCTAAAAAGAAAAGAAATTGTCGATTTCTTTGAGGAAGAAACCAGCGGTACAAAGTTAAGAAAAATATCCAGGATTGCTGCAGTTGAAGCGAACTCAGATTAGGGAGTTGTCAAGCTCCGAAAGCAGCTACTGCAGGTTGTTTTGAAGGTTAGGGAAGATAAACTAAGGCTTACAAAGACTGAGGAGAAACTTTCAGAGGATGTCCAAATGTTGAAACAGGCGATTTCTACAGCAAAGGCGTCTGTTCAGGTTAGTTCAGCTTTGCAACTTTGAGTTCCTCTTTTTATTTCAATGGTGATTTGTATATGGAAGTATTTCCTTTTGTACTGTTTATTTTTCCAATTTTATAAAGCATAAATTTTCTAATACCATGTTTATAGTACCTCAAATTGCATGGCCAAAGATTTAGAACCTCAAATGGAGAGAACATAAAATTTTATAGAAATAGACCTTTTTCAGCATTAGATACTGGAAATGTTTGAAGTTTAACTTCATTATGCTTCAACTTTTAAATCAGCTCAATTTGGTTCTTGCCTTTTTTTTAATATTATTTTACAGGATTAGCATATCCATTTGAGTTGCAAATGACATTTGTGGGGACAAATAAATGTGTGAGAAATGAATTAAACTAGTGTGTTGGAAACATCCTGACCCTTGATTTCATAACAATTTTTCAAATGAATAGATATGATGTTTGCCAACTCACAGGTTGCCAACCAAGTTGTACAAGTAGCATGATTGATCAGAAATATGTAGTTTGAAGAGCATAATAACTGAGCAATTAATAAATGAATAATACTACTTTGACCAAAAATTTGCCAGATGCAATGATCAAAGATGTCGTGGTGGGAGTCGATTGTATGGGACAACTGGTTGTGTTTAAAACAGTCTAATGATAAAACATCACATGGCATTATGTCGACCATTATGTCAAACTTTCTTTTCGTGTAGCGTGATTGAGCGCTATCAAGTCTTCCAAACCCCTTGAAGTTCTATAATTTCTTTCTCTCTTTTTTCCCTTTTTTGGTCCATATTTTTCCCTACTTGAAGCAATATGTTTCTCTATCTGTCTCATAAATTCACAATCCTTCATATCTTTCTATGATTTCTGTTCTGTTTCTTGGACATGGATTTTCTTCTGTGTGATTTTGTCATGCGTGATTATATGTTCAGTCTTGGCATGTGTGAGATGAATATCCATGGACAAAATTAAATTGCTCATTAATTTAGTTTTAACAATTTTTTGTGGAGATTGTGGAGTGAGTGTGAGGTTTTGCTCACTGTTAAGGTAGAGGGTCCTTACAGGAAGTAGCCCTGTTGGTGCTTTGGTGAGTTTACTGGTTCTCGGATGGCGAAGACAATGTCTCTTTCATGTACTTGGATATTATCTCAATCCTCGTTTTTTGTATGTCATTAATAGATCAGTAATTTTGGATATGTAGTTTCTAGAAATGCATTGGCTCCATGGTAGGACATCGATGAATAAAACTATTATGTGCTTGTTTGATAAAATTTTATCAACATTTCGATTAGTTAAACTTTAATTTTAACCCCACATTTTATGAACCCACAATTTTTATCAACTTTTTAACTGCACATTAACTTTTATAAAATCTGCTAAAACTTTTATTAAATGCTTTGTCAAACTACAAGTGTTATGCCCTAAGTCTAATCAACCTTAGATATAAATACTTTTGATATATAATTAATGCAATTTAATAACGGGTCTATTATTTAATTAATAGACAATTAAATTAAATAATAGAGTCCGTAGATTAAAATCTTTGTAATTTGTTAATCACAAGAAGTTGTGATTGTGAGGTACAAATTACATATGATTGAATCTTAAATCGTCCGTGGTCGTAAGTAATAATGAGATACGGATATCTTTATTACGGATAGACAATTGGCATTTTTTACTTGTGAAGTAAGTAGCCGATCTCATAAGCTAAAGTGTGGTGACACTTAAATGAACATATGGATGTTTTGCTATAGAACAAAACATTGGAGACCCGCCGAGAGATTCCACATGGATAACTATCTGAGTGTCAGTGGTTAATTCTAGCGTTCGATAGTGGGATTGGTAACGAGTTTGGTTTTGTCATACCACGTGACATTTTTCGTCACGTGTTTTGCCTTGACACATTGCTAGATGTCAATCTGGAACGACGAGTGTAATTGGTGATAAATTAAAAAGGTGTTTTAATTTATCAATTTTGATTAGATCAAAATAATATTTCACGTCGTTAGACATTGTGATCGGGAACCTGATGGGTCGCACACAAAAGGAGAACTGAAAGATTGTGATTTGTCAATTAATTAATTTAACAAGTGTTGGATAAATTAATTAATTGGGCTGCTTATTTATAGGCCTGAATTGATTAAATGGATTAATTAATTCACGGACCGGATTTAATCAAATAGGTTAATTAAAAGTTGGACCAGGTCAGGTTAAGCCCGTTCGGGCTTATATAAATATGATTAGAGTTTTCAAAATTATCGTGATTTTTCATTATTCTTGCTAGCACAAGAAAAATCCTAACACTACAATTTTGTTCTCTATGTGGATCACCGTTGGAGGTTGGACGATTGGACAGCTGTGGGAGACAGATCCAAGTTGTTGGAACAAAGATAAGGCAAAGGAGTTTGCAAATCATGAAAAAGGTATCACTTTTATCACAATTTCTATTTAAATACAAAGACGATTTTTTATGGGAATTGAAATTTGTTTTAATTTTTCGCTGTCCATGTTAAGTAGATTTCCAACAGTGGTATCAGAACCTATTTTGTATTTGTTAGAAATTACTTTGCATGTTGGAACTTGGAACAATTAAAAGTTAATTGTTTTTCTTGTTTTAGCAATTAAGAAAATAATTTTTCATATTCAGAATTTGATTTTGAATATAAAATAATTTTTTGGATTGGAATAATTAAAAAAAAGAAAAAAAAAAGGGAAACCTGTAGGCCGGCAGTGGAAGAGCAGTGGCGGGTTCGCGGCTGCTAATAGTAGCAGCAGCGCCGGCTGCTGGGCAACGCTCACGACGCGTTGCTGTCGGTGAGGTGGCGCTGGTCGATGCCGGCGTCGCCAAGAAGAAAAGGGAAAAACGAAAACAAAAAAAAAGGGAAGGAAAATTCTTTAGGGTTTATAGTTGAATTGAGGGTGAATGGAGGAGGGGGCATGTCTTGCAATTTCTAAAATTGTAAGCCCCCTTCGACAATTAATGAGTTAGGGTCATATTGCAAATTTTAAAAGGGGGATCTCTCTGAAATTTATGAAATTTAAAGGGGCTACCTGCAATTAAATGAGAAGGGATATTTTGGAATTTTAATT